ACTGGTCATCCATGACGTGCTGCTGTGGTCACCCTAAAAAACGTTCCCGTGCAGAATGTAAACTGTCATAGAGAAGTTGAAACGTTTTTCAGCTGGTATGATACACATGTCAAGTGATGCCAACCGTTTGCTGGAAGAAGTTGGAGGATATCGCACCGAAAAAAGAGGAGAAGTTATAATAAAGGTAAGCTCAACAACATCGTGTTTCTTCACCGCATAAAACAGCGTATGTCTAGGGAAAGGGAGTTATGGAGACGTACTGGTTGCTCGGAGTCGCTGAAAGATCCATATCTCCAGCGAGACCAGAAACTGGATCTGCTGGAGAAGATTCAGGGACTGCTTCAGTTCATGAGGAGTAGAATGCTTAGAAACTTCGTAAGACATATACAGAGATTTCAAAACTTCTCTGCCTGTAAATAAATTATTGTTGTGAGGAGTCGATATCTTCTGGTTTTCCGTGAATGTGCAGTCCCCCAAACCGACAGGTTGCAGTGGAGTTCGAGCCGCATCGTTTGTTTCACGAGTTCTGTTTTCACGTTCCACAACAAACTTTACGGCCGAACTGTGAGTCAACGAGGATCAGCAGTCACTGAGCGCTGGTTTTTTCCCCGGATGTCTTATTTTTACCAGATCATTTCCATGGGTTGGAAAGAGAGTCCTGCAACACCGGAAACAAAGTGTTTCATAGAAGATTCGAAACACTTTCTGAATCTATCTGCTTTCCTATTCCTATTTACCTTCTGAATCTGTCTGCTGCTTACTGCGCAGTGTCCTTGATGGTCTGAGTAGACCAGCATACGGTCTTCCGCGCTGTTTATACCATCTTACAGTGAGCTGCTGAGGTCTTCTGGCGCGATAACGCAGTAGCTAAAGCTGACGAGGGTGGTTGCAGACAACGATGTTTTCAAAATCCCAGTTTACGTTTTGGTGCGCGCCGCACTTTCAAGTAGTTTAGTAGTATCAGTACGGTAAGTCGTTCATTTGTACTCTGTTCCTAACAGTTGTACGCATCATACACATAATATTACAAAATTCAACGAAGTTGCTGCTATCTGAATGTAAGACACATGAAAGAGGCATCAAAAGTTTATTGCAAAAAACTCCAAGTATCCAAAAGAATCGAAAGGTTTTTGCAAAATTTTTTTCATCTTTTTCTAAGATTGCTCGTCCGGGACAGCACAACACTAAGAAGTTATTGTTAGTAAGCCTGGTTAATACGTTCAATCAACTTGATTGCTGTAAAGAATCGTAGTGCTGCATACATATGCTCGACTTTATTTGGAGACAAACTCCACGATTGCATATTGTGGGCAATGGCGTTGTGTAGTCTCCAGTAACACTCTCCGTTGATGAAGAAAATCAGAAAAGTCCATGGAGGACACCACAAAGACCCCCTGACAGCCCCACTGTACGAATTGTCCCGGAACCAGCTCAATTTAAGCCAGCAAAGCGATATCCTGCCCCGTCTCATCGGTTTCTTCGCGTCATGCAATCCAACACAGAAAATAGCATTTGAGTTGCGGTCGGTGTGACAACAAGGGGCGTTAGAACTGCCGCTTATGAGGGCCACAATGCCTTCTTTACATACTGTGAAACCAAGGAACTGGGGCAGTGTTAGAGGTGAAGGCCTAACTATTTGTGCAGGAAGGACGCTTGCATGAATGAGACCCCAACAACCTGGAGAAGAAGTTTTACATCTAGAGATAGAGACTCACGGTTTCTTCTATTATTTCATAGCCCGCCAATGGGCTAAAAAATTGCGCTAGTTCCGTTCCCCTCCACGCCTAGTTCTCTTGTCTCTTTTCTCTTTCTCTTTCTCTCTCTCTCTCTCTCTCTCTCTACTCTCTTTTTCGTTCACAAGGATAATGACGTACACACAATTGTTCAGTCAATAGTTGTCCTCATTAATTAGTGTCTAGTTGTCACTGCCCATGTTGTTTGCACAAGCCTTAACGAAAAAAATTTAGCCAGGCATTGGCAATGGGCCTATGTTCCATCTTTTCAATAGCGGCTTGCGGGAAAAAGTTCAGTGTGGACTGCTAACGACATGCGGGGTCTTAATGTAAGTATATTCAAGCAGGACCCTCACACTACTCCGTACCAAATTTGGCTTAGAGAGAGTCTTGGTTTCTCCGGAAAACACCTTCAAAACTTCCCATGCAAGAAAAGCTCTTCTTGACAGCAGCGATTAAAGAATGGTAGATGGGTAGGTGACTACGACACCCAAATCCCGGATGACCGCAGGGACTGGCGCACCTTTGCGGTATACGGTATTGCGCCTTTGTTATGCAGACAGCCGCTATAATCGTTCGTTGTACGAGCACAAGACAGGGAGTGGTAGGGCTCTTTGCAAATGGAAAATATCGTTACTATGCAGCCTCCAGGCTACGTTGATTAATACCCGCAACCATGCACTAGTCATCCCCGGGTAGGAGTGGTTACAGACAATTTACAAAAGCATTATGAAGGGCACTTTCATAAGGTTTTATCCCATCCACTTCGATGCAATGTAATCTCTCCAGCAAATCAAAGGCTTTCAGGCAAGCAATCACCCACCATCCTAAAAGGTTTGGCAAATATGTGGATGATGACAGTAGCAGGTGTACGTAGGAGGGCATCCTATAGGCTGAATAAACCTCCATACACTCCAATTCTGCAGAAAAAGCGGTTTCTGAAGCTTGCACGCGGCGTGTTGACGGCAGGGTCCAGACTTGGTACGGGACATGACAGCTGGGCACATTTGGTAACGATTTTCTGCCATTTAGTCCGGCCGAAGCGTACTCCGCGTAATCCCGCGACATCTAGGCCTGTATAGAAGGATATTGCTAGCTCTTGAGCTTCATCGATAATGCCTACTAAATTATAATCGCGCTATTTCGCCGTGATGTGTGTCGCGCTTACGTGCGTCTGGTCTGTACTGTCTGTCACGAAATTCACTAGCGAGCGTCGCCCCAGAAAAAGATCAGGATGACAGCCTCCAAGAATTGATATACACGGCCCCAGGACGGAAAACACTTGTGGTGATAGACAGGAGGCTGATCAACAACGGATAAGTTACTCGCATTAAGGAGACTTGGAAGGGGAGGCTGACCGCAGTTCGTAGGGCGGGCATTTTGCCAGCAGTGCGCGGGCCGCTGTATTTCAAGGAGTGATATACAAGGCAGGACGTGAACACTTTCGGGTGGGTGACAGGAGGTGATAACACCTGATAAGATTCGATAAGGGGCCTTGGAAGGGGAGGGTGACCGATCGCTAGCGGCGAAGTTAGCAGGCAAGCTGCTGGAGACGTAGTGTTCATAAAGGCTGCATATACAACGGTTAGGGTGGTGTGCTGACAGAAGCTGCATACAACTGATAAGCATCCGATAAGGGTCTTTGGAACGCTGGTGTCACCGCGGCGGTCGTTGGTGAGATCTTGGTCGTGAAGTTGCTGTAGAGCTCACGAAGAATCCTGATGTACTGAGTAGGAATACCCTGGTTGCCCAGGGCTTCGATAACCGCTTCTGTCTCAACGGAGTCGAAGGCTTTCTTCAAGTCGATGAAACGGAGGCATGCAGGCATCTTGTACTCTCGCGATACTTCGATGAGCTTCGTTACCGTGTGGATGTGATCGATCGTGCTGAATCCTCTTCGAAACCCTGCTTGCTCGCATGGCTGTCCTTCGTCTAGTGTTCTTCCAATCCTGTTAAGGATGACTCGTGTGAAGACGTGTGTAGGGACTACAGAGCAGCAGGCAGATTGGCGATACATTAGCCAATAGTCGTACAGTGTCTGCCCTTTTGCGTACAGCAGCACAGCTCTTGCTGGTTTTCCACTGGGTACCTTGCATTCTGACAGGGTAGCCGTGAAGAGCGTCGCAGCCAGCGTTTGACGAGAACTGGCGGAAGATTCTTCAGATGTTCGGGTCTGATCCTGTCGGGACCGGGTGCCGTACGATTCTTCACCGACGAGATGGCGTGTCGGACTTCGGAAGAGAGAAAACTGCAGGAACGACATAACGGACCATATCCTGCCCTCCAAGCGGTATGGTTGCAGGTGGACGTGGCTGTCAAAGAGATCCGAGTAGAAGTCGTGGATGACCTTCTCCATTGCCCTTCTGGATGCGGTGATTGTTCCATCCGGACGTCGGAGGGCGGTCATCTTAGTCTTACAGTTGGCGAAGTCGCGGCGGGCGTTGCGTACGCTCTTCCCAGCCTCTGCGGCTTCCACCAGTACTGCTGCTCTTCTCTCCTTGAGGTCTTCCCTTTATCGCTCCTCGATGGCATAGCTTTCGCGAAGCCTCAGACCTGTCAGCTTCGCGTAATTGCCTGCCGGCTCGTACGCTCCACGTTAGGCGAATCAGCTCAGAGAGCTTTCCACCGCATAGACGCTTCTTTGTAATCTTGGACCTCTAAGCTACTTTGGCGCAGTCGTGAAGATGTGCAACAAGCCGTTCGTATTCCTCGTCGATGTTGTCGATGACAGAATCCTCCCAGAGCCCAGCGAGAGAAGTGAAGTGATCCCAGTTGATGAAGGTCTTTGGGCTTCGCTTCTTGAACTTTGCGGCTCCTCTCGTCCTCGCACAGAAGCGGAATCTATGCGCAAAGGACAACGATGGTCGGATCCCGTAGTAGAACTTTACGGCGAACAACAGCACATCGCGTCAGGCGCCAAAGACCTTCGACTTGGCAGATCGATGTGGCTCGAATCTCGTTTATAGAATATGTCCCACAGGAGACTCCCATGTCAGCGTTACAGCAGTTAGGTATTTCTGGAACTGCGAGTTACCATGGATAGGTATGGGTCGACATGATAAACTCAGACAGCCTTTCACCCTGCTCATTCCACTCCGTTCCGTGAGTTCCGATGTGAAGTTCTTCAGCCGTTCTTGGTCCGATCTTAGCGTTGAAATCACCGACGATGACCTTGAAGAAGGTATGATCTTCCTTGTAGAACTTCTCCAATTCCATATAGAACGCTTCGAGCTCATCCTCGTCGTAGCTTGATGTTGGTGCGTAGGCGACGAAGATTGTCAAAGCTGGAGTTGAACCACATCTTCTCAGTCGCAAACGTCCGATTCGGGTCGTCAGACTTTCGTACGAATCGATGTTCATGGCCAAGTGCGTGTTGACGAGGACGCCCACACCGCCAACGCCTCTGCTGTCGCATGTTCCGAGGAACAGTTCTGGCTCCCAGTCTCTCGTATACGGCGTGTAGCGGGCGATGCCTCCTCGTCTCGGTCAGTCCGATGACGTCGTACTTGATCTTCCTGGCTTGCAACATCAGATCTTCGATGTGAGCTTCCGATGCAAGCGTCCGTGCGTTGAAAGTACAGATCGTCATCCTAGTCCTGGGCGACTTAAATCTCCGTTGGCCCTGT